GTGGAGAGTTGGGTGGAGAGGAACCTGACAAGGTTCAATGTGGGGAATACCTGGGGAGGAAGAACACACACATCAGTCGTGGGTCAGGGGCTGAGCTGCTGGAAAGGAGCTCTGTGGAGGTGTCTTGGTGGTCTACAGTTAGAGCACGAGGCAGCAGTGTGCTCTCATAGCCAGGAAGGGCAATGGTGTCCCAGCTGACCAGCGATTGACCAACAGTTGACCAACAGTTGGCCAAACGTTGACTGTGAGCCAGCAGTGCGGCCTGGTACCCAAGGTGGCCAATGGTTCCCTGGGATGTTCTTGCCAGCAGATTAAGGAGATGATCTTCCCCCTCTGCTCTGCCCTGGGGAGGCCACGTCCCATGTCTGGAACACTGTGTCCAGTTCTGGGCTTCCCAGTTCAAAGCAACCAAGGATCTTCTAGGGAGAGTCTAGTGGAGGGCCACAAAGGTTAGGGGCCTGGAGAATCTCCCATTCGGAGGCAGGCTGGGAATGTTCAGCCTGGCTGAAGGGAGATTGCAGAGTCCTACACCTGGGTAGGAAGAACCATGTGCATCAGTGCAGGCTGGGAGCTGAGCTGCTGGAAAGGAGCTCTACAGAAAAGAAGCTGAGGGTCCTGGTGGCCAACAGGGTGACCATGAGTCAGCAGCATGTTTTGGTGGCCAAGAAAGCCAATGGTTCCCCAGGGGGAAATGCTTTCCTGTGATGCTGTAGGGAACCTTCTTTAGCATTAAGGTTGGATTTGATGACCTCCAGAGATCCCTCCCCACCCCTGTGATTCCATGATTCTGTGAATCAAGCTTGCCATGATTCTGTGAATCAAGCTTGTTCACTTCTCCTTCATGGACTTCTGATTTATATCCAAATGAGGAGAGCCATGCAAGAGTCCGATATTGGATGCTCCATGACTGATGTCAAATCTGTGTCCCCCACTTACACCCTCTGGGAGTCTGGATCACAGATGTGATTTGTTTTGCAAACTTGACACAGCGTTTGCAGTGAAGGGTGACAGTGAGGTCTCTTGCTCGCTCCTGTCACCTGGGGATGATGTTGCAATCTGATTTTAACTGATGTAATACTCATGCCTGAGTAGGTAACACTGAGCACAAATTACTCGCACAGTCTGATAAGACCAAGGGGTCTATCTCAGATCAAAATCTGATGGCTACATGGGTATCCCGATCTATGGCTTTGTTTTATCAATTAAAGGGAAAAAGCAATAATTATTTTCCTACAAACGTTTGTGCAAAGTATGCCATGCGTTGGCCTTGAACTTCATCGCTCAGACAGGAGGAAAATGTTCTCCTTCCTGCACCCCTTAAGAGGTGGTTGAAGGGAGCTCATCCCCAGGCTCAGCCCTCTCTCTGACCTTGCAATGTGCTGGGATTGGCCACATTCCCTCCATGCAGTCCCTTTGCAGAAAAGAAACCGTGATTTCTCCCTCTCCTCATTTCTGTCCATTACGGGACTCATTAGCAAAAGAAAAACGATTTTTGCTTGCAGAAAGGCCAGCAGAGGAATGCAGTGATCCTGCCATGATCCATAACCCAGCTCCACCAACACCAGTCTTGCTATGTACCTTGAACAAAGCCCTGGGCAAACATTCAGGACTGAACCTGCAAGTTCTTAAAATGGGGTAAAAAAATAAAGCAAAGCCCAAGCCCTGTTCCTGGTCTGTTCTCAAGAGCAATTCATTGAAGTCAGTGAAGGAAATCAGAGCTGCATTAATCCCTCTACTTCAATTAAAACGAGAACAATAAACACTGTAAGAGCCAGCAGAAGCTTTTGTATGAATAGGGGTTTAGGCTTTGGCCTGAAATGTTGGAAAAGGTGTTGATTTTCTTTCATTTTACTGTGTCCTTCTGAGGCAACATGACTATGGCAGAATATGATTACTCCTGGTGGCCCCCTGTCCTTGAGGGATACAGACATTATACCCCCATCCTTGGAAAAAAAAAAAAAACCCAACACATCACAAACAGCAGAACCCCTCAGATCTGGGTTGCTAGAAAGTTTTCTCAAGATTTAGTGCTGCTGTGGGTCCTCCTGTGCTTAATACATCGCCATGCATAGTACTTGGATCCTTTGCTGTCTAATAAACAGGGCATTGGGATTCTCCAGTGTCTAATATTTGCTGCACAGATGAGGGTTCATCTGTTAGAGGAGTTGTCTGCAGCCTCTCTCTATCTGCAGAAAAGAGCCAAAAAATGGAAATTAGAGGTCTGGGCAGCACCTTCATCTCCTGCATCCAAGCAAGAAAACCCACACAGCTCTTTATGCAATAAATCTTTTATTCTCTGTAGCTCAGAGGTATTTCAGATGGAATGGAGATATCTGAAGGATGTTTATACTTTCCTGAAAGCCAGGGGAGCAGAGATATCTGAGCCATCTAAGTCACTTGAGAAGTACGCTGTTGTGCAAGCGCGGTTCCCTCGCTTGCAAAACGTTCTTCACAAAGGTGTTCCTGGGCCTTGCTCTGCCATCAGGAGGAGGCACAGTGCATCCCCATCCCCAGGGGAGGGCTGATAGTACCGCTGTGCTCCACGGGATGTGGATTGAAAGGCAAAATAATGACGTTCCCATCTCCATTTCACTGCAGAGCTCTTTGCTGCTCTTAAGGCTGCAACAGCAACAAGGCTTTGTTTCTCCAACCAGCACCAGCAGCTCCAGAAACCCCTCCTTGTTACAAGCAGCCCCACACCAGGCTCTCCAGTCTTCCCCATCTCCCATTCTGTTTTGCAGTATGGAGGTGGCACAGCGCAGCAAGGCAGGAAACACAGATCTGCCTGGATCGCTGCCTGGCAGCAGCAAACCTGGCTCCATTCCGTGCTCCCCCTCTGCAATCCAGATGGATTACGTCCCCTGCAATGCTGGAGCTCTCTCGGTGAAAGCTGGAACGCGTCGCTGCTCTTTGCTGGAATGCAGTGATGGTTTGCTCGGCCCCACAGCAGAGACTGCAGTGACGGAGCTTCCTTTCAGTCCGTACAACACAGCACGTGATGCAACATCAAGCTTCTTCATACCCATTGCACACAGAAATCCCAAAGCACTGGGCAGGCAACAGCTGCAATCAGCCTTCGCATCGCCAGCTGAAAGAGAGGAGCATGAGGCTGTGTCAGGGTTTTAAGTTGCTCAGAGCTAATCTTGCCTGCTTCTCTTGCTTTTTTAATTAGTCTTCATTAAGCAGAGACACATCACGCCTTGCTTGCCATGAATAACTATTAATCAAACAGGGTATCAGCGCCAGGTAATTGCCATATTAGTTATCTGACATTCCCTACGCCACTGGCAGCCTGCACCTGTAATCAGGCCCTGACGTAATGCATTTTTGAGCAATGCTAAGTTTGCAAATCCACCCCAGGCAGAGAGCAGCAGGAGGCTGCAGCCGGGATGTGACCACATTTCTGTGCCTTATCAGCACCCCAAACATAGGCAGCCTCACAGTCTGCTGTATAAGATCTGCTTCACTGCTGGAAAACCAGAGCCTGGAGCCAAAGTCACTTCTTGGCACTGCCAAAGTCACCGAGGAAGTCAGACAGAGGGGTTTTCAGAGGAAGGGGCTGAATCCACATCTTCCATCCTCACCCTGGCCTTGTTTTCTCCACAATTTCTCCTTTGTTAAGGGCAATGTTCTCATCGGAGTCTTTATATGTAAAGAGAGGGCCAGTATTGTTACCCACCTTCTGTGAAGGAAGAAGCAATTTGAGAGATATGGAACATTTTATGCCAACTTTTCACATCCATTCAGTGGCACTCACACAGTTCCTCTGGAGGGGAAATGTTTTGTCTTGCAGCGGAAGCCTTTGTTGAAGCCAAATAGAGGATGAAACGATCCTCTCATCTCCAGCTCTGCCCTGGGGGAGCACTCTTCCCAGGATGGCTTAAGAGTCTGTTAATGAGAGGAAGAAAAAGAGGGAAAAAAGGCCATTTTTGCAGCAAACCAACCTGTCCTTATGGCACAGGGAGCAAAAGGCTTTAGTGATGTGGCCAGTCCTAAGCAATGGAATAGAAGGAAAATGGACTTGCTGAGCAATTGGTGGATGGTTTGATGGGAAGGGACCATACTCTGGAGAGGAAAATGTCAATGGGGATCAACGCCAGGAAGTAAAAAAGTGTTTCTGAGCACCGAGGTGGCCAAACAGTCGAGTTGGTACTCCAGCTGTGAGTGCCATTTTTTTGGACACTAGAATTTCTTTCCTGGCAATCATTTCTTGGGGCTGGTTCCCATTTTTTTGGTGTAGGAAATCTCTGCCTGAGCCATATAATTGTGATTCTCTGAGTTCTAGTAAGTCACATGGAGGTTGGTGCCTCTGTGCATTCGGTTTTGCCTGGGTGTTCAATCATGGCCCCCTTCTCACCACAACCTGAAATTCTCCATACTCATCAGCAATACCCATGGAGTGTATCACTTTAAGCTAATAAAAGCTTAATTGGAAATGCACAACCTTGAGTCGAAAGCACCAACATCAGTCATTGTCCTTAAATGGATATAGCTATAGATACTAAAGAGAGGAGAAGGGAAAAATCTATATGTATGTGATGCAGGATATGAGATGGTCAGCACTGAAACAAGTTGTCCATGAGGCTGGGTGGGTGATGCAGGGCTCCAGCTCAGCTCCACCTTGGCCCTACAGACTCCTCATTCACTTTCTCTTCTCCCCATGCTGCAGGTAATAGGGAGACAGAGCAAGGAGCACTTCCAAAGGCTTGGTAAGAAAGCACTGGGAAGAGGAAACAGCATTTCCTGGCATTGCTCAAGGCTGATTTATGTCCTCCCAAGGATGGTGAGCACTGCATTCCCCAGCTTTAATAGCGGGGGCAGGCTCTGAAGTTCCCTCATCTGGAACACAAATGAAGGAAAGCATCGGGTTTCCCAGGACCACAACCCCACCTCCTTCAGTGGGCAATCCTCCTGCATCCCATACCCTTATATATAGGGCTTGTACCCCCATCATCATCTCTGGACCCAGCAGTGCTACAACGATTGTCTGAAGTCCCTGCAGGCAGGGCCAGTCCTTGCAGCCTCCATGATGTGGGAGCTCCGCTCCGTAGCCTTCACCCGGGCCGTCCTGGCAGAGTTTCTGGCGACCTTGGTCTTCATCCTCTTCGGCCTGGGCTCTGCTCTGAACTGGCCTTCAGCTTCCGCCCCGAGCATCCTTCAAACTGCGTTGGCTTTTGGCTTGGCCATCGGCACGTTGGTCCAAGCCTTGGGGCACATCAGCGGAGCCCACATCAACCCGGCGGTGACAGTGGCTTGCCTCATCGGCTCCCACGTCTCCTTCCTGCGTGCAGTCTTCTACGTGGTGGCCCAGCTCCTGGGGGCCGTGGCAGGGGCTGCCATCCTGCACGAGATCACCCCAGCCGACTCGCGGGAAGGCTTGGCCATCAACAAGGTGAGGCTGCAGCCCATGGCGGGTGAGAGAAGGAGCTGAGAGGTTTGGGGTGAAGCTTGGGGAAGGCTGAGGGATGTGTAGAAGGGCTTTGGGATCAGCAAGGACCTTTATTAAACATTGGATTGGCAGGGTGAGATGTAGCATGGATTCTACCAGCAGCAGGGATGAACACAGGGCTCCAGACCAGCTCCTCTGCTTTTAGGGACTGAAAACAAAGGTGATCCAGCTGCCTGGAGAGACACCTAGGCAGGAGACAAACCCTCATCTCAGCCTTATCTCAGTCTCTATTGAGGAAGATCTTGATTCTGTGGAGATACAGGTTAGGGAAGGACATGGGTTGGGTTAGGTTGGAAGTGGATGATTCTTAATTTCCCCTCCAACCTCAGCCATTCTATGATTCTGTGACAGAATTCTATGATTCTCTCAGCTCCTCTTGCCCCAGTCCCATCCCTTCTACCACTCTTGGTGTGGGCAGGGGAAGCCTTTTCTCCCCTCTCCATTACGTTGTGCCACCACCTATAGAGCATAGCTGTGCTATGAGATTCCATGGCACTGGGGATGATGAGCCTGGATTTTTTTGCCTAAGCTCCAACTTCTCATCAGATAGCACTGTTCATTTTGCCACATCCCACTGTGGAGGGACGGCCGTCCCAGTCCCACCTGGGACAGAACATAAAAGTGCTCCAGCAATGCCACCAGGCAAAGACACAGCATTCTGCAACCCACAGCACAAGGATCTCCCTTTACAGATGCGAGGAGAATAAAGAAAATGAGGGAACACCAGGAACCACAAAAACTCCCCAGTAACATCCCAAATCCCCTTTTCACACCATGCACATTGTACGCAGAGACTGAAAGAGAAAGTCTGTGCTCACTGTAACTCCCTTCTCCATGGGTAGCAGCAGCTGTGCTTCTGCAGAGGTGTCCATGCCAGCAGCATCATCGTCCAGAACTGGTGAGGAGGAGGAAGGCAGTGTGTTTCAGGAGGAAACGGGGAAATCCTTTCTCTTGCAGAAATCAGCTGGCACTGCCAGACCCAGCTTCACTGCCAAAGAGATTGAAAGGCTTGAAAAGGAACTGAGGATTAGTCTGAACAAGACTATTTATATCGATAGTAGCTGAGGTTTAATAAGCCCAACAAAGCAGTATGAGTTCTAAGAGACTTTCAAAATACTGTTTTACAACAAAAAGCACCTGAAAGAAGAGATTTTGATTTTCTTTTCCCCTGTGGGCTGTTCATCATGCAGCTGCTTGCACAGATCACCCTTCAAAAATTAGGGGAATATCAGAGAGAGAAGAGCGAGATCCCACTCTGGGTTTGAACAGGAGGATGATTGCTGCTGTGCTGTGTCACTGAGCAAAGCGTTCTTGGGATCAGCATTTGGGGGGACACCCAAAGCAGGGGTGACATGGGGCAAGAACAGGCGGAGATGTGGCAGGATGGGCTGAGGGAAGAGAAAGCTGCTGCCAGATCCATCCAGATCCAGATTAAAAACCTTCAAGGATTTGCAAAGTGCCAGAAACCAGAGTTGGAGGAGAGGGTGTGCAACAGGCACAGCTTCGTACCAAGTCAGAGTATTTTTGTAGTCAAAGAGTGGGAAGCGAGATGCGATTGCTTTTTTTTGTTTCTGTGCCAAAATATCTCTTTTTTTTTAAAAGCAATTCGTATATTTTATTTTTCCAAAAGGCATTTTGCATTTCAAACATGAGGCAAAGAGAGAAAAAAATCCTCTGGGGGAGAGAGAGTGGAAAAAGCAATGCCCAAATGAGTGACACAAAAGCGTTTCCTTCCATGTCCATCAAACGTTGCCCACTGAGGCACTTTCCATTTTTCCTGGGAAAATTCTCCCCCTCCTCCAAAAATCTCACCCGTTTCCTCTGCCTTTCTGGGTTTCCTCTCTAAATCTCCAGTCCAGGCACTGAATTTGCCCATTCCTGAGATGTCTTCTCCCCTTCCAGCTGCACAATGAGACGACGACGGGGCAGGCGGTCACTGTTGAGCTCTTCCTCACCTTCCAGCTCGTCCTCTGCATCTTTGCTTCCACTGATGAACGCCGGGAGGACAATGTGGGGTCTCCTGCACTGTCCATTGGCTTTTCTGTTGCTGTTGGCCATCTCCTTGGAGTGAGTAGAACGGGTTAAAGAGCAGTGCTTGGTGGAGTGTCTCTGTGTTTCTGCCAAGAGGCCTGTAACTCGTGGGGGACTGTGACTGATGCAGTCAGTACTCATGGTTTTGAAGCGGGTACAGCAGGAAAATTCCACCAAAGCCATAGCACAACCATAGCCTGAGCTGAGCTGTTATTGGTCATGAAAAAATCCATAACCTGCTGTATCTGCTGCTCCTCAAGTCCTGTTGAGAGGTCCCACAGATCCATGGGGTCTTCCATCTTGGAGCGAACGTGTTAGCAACTGTGACTCTCAAGACCGTGACAAACTGTGAGTTATGTAGGATGGATAGCCAGGGAAATCCCTCACAGCTAACTTTTGCAGGGAAAAAAACACATTATCCTCCAACACTCCCAGCCTCTCAGGATTAGAACAGCAATGTTTGCATCACATTTTCCATCCTTAATGATATGCAAGCCTGTGTGGCTTGCTGTGGAATTACTTTCCTTCAATCCTCTGTGGCAAGCAGTAGCAATGTGCTCCAGGAACAGGCACGGCAGAAACGTGTTCCCATTGCAGTATACGTCACCCAACTTGCACCATGCAGACACATCAGCTTGCACCAGAGATGCACAAATGGGACTCAGGTGTGTTGACTCAAGTGCTGGAAGCTGGTAGCATTTCTTTTCCTGGAATGGGGTACACTGGGATATGAAACACTGGCTTGGAGGATGAATCATGCTAATAACACACTGGGATATATTAAAATGTGGTAAAAGGGTTTAATGCTAGCGCTCAGTGTGGTGTTTCTCTGCAGATCCGTTACACTGGTTGCTCCATGAACCCAGCCAGATCCTTTGCCCCAGCTGTAATCGTTGGAAACTTTAGTGACCACTGGGTAAGAATCGTGCTCTTGGTGTTGGGTCAGTGGGATGGGCCCCCCAGGTTATCAGCATGCTTAGAAAAACAAAAAGCCAACTAGGTCCAGCATCTCAGCACCAGCTTCTGTTTAGAGGAGAGATGTAGAGATTTGCAGAAAGAGGTGGGGCTGCCGGGTGCTTAATTAGCTTATCTAGGCAAGGTGAGTTGCAACAGAAAAAGGGGTGTGTTTTGTTGACCATGACTTAACAAAAGAGATAAAACCAATGGAGAATGAACCTCTTCTCACCATCCTAGAGACCTTTCCTGGTTCCAGTTGGATCCAGGCATGTATTTTCCATCAGCTCTTTTAGGGACACTTCCAGGCATTGCCAGCTCAGCATTGAAGCTGTGGCCATGCTTAGAGGTGTCCAAGCTGGGAGCCTCTTCCTCTCCATAGGATTGTGTAAATGGGTAGGATGACATCTTCACAGCAACCCAAACCACTGTCCTGCTCACAACAGTGCTGTCATAAGTGGAGGTATTACAGCATTCACTCTCAGAGGAGGAAGAGACAGAAGAAGGTGGGCATGTACATTCAGGCATAAAAACAAGGGAACGGACAAGAGATGGCCAAGTCAAAGAGAGGGCCAGAGCAGATCTGTCTTCTGTATTTGGTCTTAACAGCAAAACAGGATGAACAGGTCCATAAGATGCCTGTAATACTCTCAGAGACCCAGAGACCTTCTCCTCTTCATCCTCCAAGCACGGGCAGGCTTCTGCTTACCACATTCTTCTCTTTCCTTTTTCCATAGGTCTTCTGGGTGGGCCCCTTGGTTGGGGCAGCGGCCGCATCCATCATCTACAATTACATTCTCTTCCCACAATCCAAAACCTTCTCAGAGAGGCTCGCCATCTTCAAAGGCATGGAGCCAGAGGAGGACTGGGCAGAGCGCGAGGCACGGCGGCGGCAGTCAGTGGAGCTGCACTCCCCACAGACCCTGCCGAGGGGGAGGTCTGAGAAGGTATAGCCGAGCCAACCCAGGGATAGGAGAGGAGCTGAGGGAACCCCGATGTTCCAAACAGTGCTTCACCTCTCTCCTCTCTCTGTTTTTATTTTGCTGGGGTCTCGTGTTGCCTCATCATGGGGAGATGCGCTGTGATGGCCCAACTTTGCCACCCAGCTCTATGTCTGCAGGTTTTCTAACTTTAGAGGAAAGCACCGTTAAAGCAAAGCCACCAGTGCAGCAGCAGGGATGAGCACATGCTGGAGTCCCACCTTCAAGTCCCCCTCGCAGGAGGCAGTGCGCGGTGGAGCTCGTTGCCCTTCTCGAGGCGCTGCAGAGAGGTGTTATTACAGGTGTTTGCTGGGTGTGGAGGTTGCCACCCGATGCCTCATTGCTTTTGAACTCTGCTCACCCTTCTCCCACTTCTTCTCGCTGCCCAGCTGTTTGGACACACTGAGAGCATTGCTCCTTGCCACACAGATCTCACAACCTGCAAGTTTTGCTGCTGCAAGGAACCCGAGCATATTTATGACCCACAGTGGAATGCAGATGCTCTTTGCTTTTGCAGACTGGAAGAGTGTCCTCGCGTTCCCTCTGACCCCACTGGGGAGCTCTTGCAACTGCTCCCTCCTGTGATGATGGGAAACCTCCTAATTTTCAGCTCCAGATAATCCACAGCTTGGCTGTTCCTAGACCACTACTGTCCCTCAGCTTCAGTGCTTCTTCTTTCTGCCCAGATTTTGCTTTTTTTCCTCCATTCCTATCCCACCCTGATTTGAATGAGTAATACAAAGCATTTCAGATATGAGCTTCTCTGACTCTTGCTTTCACAGATGCACCACACCAATGGCTCTTGACCATCCCATCCTTTCATCAGAACCTGGTTACAGCTACTAGAATAGTCAAAGAATTTGGGTTTGTCTTTGGGACATGCCTTAGCTCTTTTAAGCATTAAATTTAATCTCGTTTCTATTACTCAGCCTCAAAGTTATGCATTTCCCGCATGACATCCTCATGCCTCTTTCTGTTGACGACGTCTCCCTTGCATTGCACCGTCACAGAACATCACCACCTCATTTGGGATTTTTTCTGCTAAGGTTGCTAATGGAAGTATTCAACAAGATGGGCTCCAATTCCAAACCCTAGAGAAAGTTAGTGATTGTTTTCCTTCTCCCACTCTTTTGACTGGAACCACCATCAAATGATGCTCTTCCTCTGTCCGCTGTTCTCTACCTGTACCCATCTCCTCCTCCTCTTGTCCCAATGGTTCTAGTCCTCCACCTTGGTTGTTCAGCAACAAAGGAGCACTTGAATACTATTTCAAAAATAGTTTGTTTGTTTTTTTAAATAAAATCTGTATCTGTTCTTAGTCTGAGCAATGGGAAATGAAATCGTAGAGTCATAGAATCCTCAGTTTTAAGGGGCCACTAAAGGCCATCCAGTCCAACCCCCTTGCAGTGAACAGGGATACCTTCAACTACATCAGGTTGCCCAGGCCCTGGGCACTCATCACTGATCTCCATTCAGACATGGAGCCATTGGCCACCACTCTCAAGATTCGATCCTACAGCCAGTTGTTCATCCATCAAACTGCCTGCCCATCAAACCCATCTCTTTCCAATTTGGAGAGAAGGATGTTGTGGGGTACGGTGCCAAAGACCTCACCGAAGTCCAGATAGATGACATCAGTGTCTCTTCCCTTATCCATGGATGCAGTGACATCATCATAAAAGGCCACTAAGCTGAAGCCACGCTAGCTCTCTTGTATCACCTCCCTGTCTTCCATGTTCCTTAGCCATATTCCAGGAGAATTTGCTCCAATATGCAGGTTTTTGCTTCACGAAGCTCCTGGACTTCTCCTTTCTGGTTGAGGTACCTGTAGAAGCCTTTCTTATTCTTGGCATCCCTTGGTTCAGTTCAAGCTGGACCTTGGCCTTTCTGACCCCATCCCTACACAGCCTAGCAGCTTCCTTATGCTCTTCCCACGATACCTGTCCCTATTTCTACCAAATGTGCATTTCTTCTTGCTCTCCAGTTTGACCAGCAGGTCTCAGTTCAGCCACGCCGGCCTCTTGCCTTCCTTTCCTGACTTGCTATACCTGGAGATGGAGAGTTCTTGAGTGCTGAGAAAAGCTTCCTTAAAGATCTGCCAGGTTTCCATTCAATCACATTTCCATTCAAACAGAGTGTAAAGTCACGTAAAAATCACCAATTATTCATGTTTAAAATTAGTTCATATTTCTGCTGCTGTTTGAAGGAAAAACATTCTATGTGTTCCAGGGAAACCCAAACACATTTACCCAGAATTTATCCTGCCAATGAGCTTCTACAGACAGCACCATACAGCTGATTCATGATTTTTTTTTTTCTTCAATGTTGAAGTTAATTACATGCCCTCAGATCCAACCATTTAATTTATTAGGTACCATGACAATGTTTAAGACACATAAACTGTGAAGAGCCCTACAAATGAGTTTTAGTGTCTAATAACTCACTGTCCTCTTTCAAATAAAGTGCTTTAAATTTACTTCTACCAATGAATTTACACGTGTGTCATTATTCGGTTCACATTTCTGGTCATATAATATATCTGTGGTCATATATGTATTATGCAGCCCAGCTTCAAGCCAACAGCCTATTGATCTGCAAAAATAACAGTGAAAACACAGCCCCCATCTTCCAACTACCGACCCACCAAATAAGGACCTTTCCTCCTTGAGCACCTAACTCTGCTCCCATTCCTGTCCTTGCTGGATTCAGCTCTTGGCATGCAGTGTTAACATGAAGCAATCTCACTGAACCAGATTTTCAGATGGCTAAAACAGCCTGAGTCCTCTCGAGACAATCAGGCACGCAAATTTTCCCTCTCCATGCAGCTATCATTGTCTTCAATGACACTTTCAAAACTTGCACTGTCAGGAAACCAAGCCAGTCATTCCAGACTTACACCAGTGCTGTTCAAATTAGAGATCTCAGCCACCCAGAGATCAGAGCTGCCACAGACCAACCAAAACCCTCCCTAAGCTGATAACGCTTTTTGTATTAGGCCTCAAGAGGAATGCTTTGGCCCAGGATTCAAAACAACCTGTGCATTCCCACCCATGAATTCATGACTCCCCACGATGAATATCTGCAATGTTCGTTGCACCATAAATTAACCTTTATTAGTGTCATCACGGACTTGTGATAAATAATATGACCATGAAATCCAAACATAAATCACTGTACAAAGTGCCTCAGATCTCATTGCTTCCTATGCCCTGCCATCACTTGTGACCACAGACCTTTTCTCCCTCTCTTGTTCTGTTGTTCTACCTGTATACTGTCATCTTGACCAGTTTTGGGGCAGCCATCCTGCAAATCCTGTTGGCAGTCCTGGAGCTGCTGTGAGAATTTAAGGGCATTTTGGACTTTCCTCGACCGCTTTCCTTGGTTGCTAGATATTCAGCTCAACCCATTTATTTAAGACATCAGTGAAGTGCCAGAGTACAGTAGGTGTTCAGCAGGAAAATGTGATTTCATGTAGATACCAGTTGGACCACCACGTTGCTACCCAGGGGCATGGTGACACTCTGCAACATGGTGATTTTAGGATGAGAGAGAATGGCCTGAAGTTGTGCTAGATTAGGTGCAGTTCGGATATTAGGAATAATTTATTCTCTGAAGGAGTGGTGATGCATTGGCACAGGTTGCCCAGGGATGTGGTGAGGTCACCATCCCTAGAGGTGCTCAAGAACGATGAGATGTGGCATTTAGGGACATGGCCAGTGGGCATGGTAGGATGGGCTGGGGTTGGACTGAGTGGTTTGGGTGGCCTTTTCCATCCATAGTGATCCTATGATTCTACAAAACCTTTGGCCTGAAGAAGTGGCTGGCAATAGTGGGGGTCCATAGGGAAAGTCAAGTCCTCAGCTAATTCCTACAGTTCCAGAGACGCCTTTCTCCCAAGACTCTGCCAATGAATCTGGGTATGAGACCAGAAGCTCTGCTTCAAATTTCAGCATGGTTTTCCAGGAACGTGAGGAATCTGAAGATAATCAGACATTTATCCAGACACCACTCAGTGCAAGCCTTCAGCTCCAGCAGCACATGATCATGAGTCTCTTTAAGCCCCAGTCAGTGTAAATTATGGGGTGTAACTTCTTAGGGTGAGAGGTTTCTCAGTGCCTCTCGTCTGGGCCTCAGAGGCAGAACGGGGTGAAAATAATTGTTTTCTAACCAACATTTTGCTTGGCAAAGTCCCATTGCAGACTCCTTGCAACCCTACGAGGAGACTATGTGGGCAAAGATGAGACTTCCATGGCAAATACATTTCAAGAGGAAAACCATCTCACAAATGCAGGTCTGTCTAAATCCCAGTGAGTGGCTACTGGCCTAAGAATGCAAAGTATTTACCTAGATGAGCAGAAATGCAGCCTCCCAATGTCACAGGTGCAGGTGGCTTCACTGGAAAGGGCTAGACCTGAAAATCAGGACACCAGGGTTTCAGGCCCAGCTTTCATCCTGGATGATCTGCAGAGATCTCTTTTCTAATCAGGCTTTGCTTTCCCTACTATACGTGATTATCCCCATGTGTCAATTTAATGATTATTATGATGCAAATTAATTATTAAGGATGCTGGCATTTCCATTGCAGACCAGTACCAAAGTGTTTGCATCCACTTACTTGGATGCTTTAGAGACTGCCAAGTAATTTCTAAGCGAGGAGCAGAGCAATGCTGTTATTAAGCATTAGCACTATTCAGCATTTTGATGGCATCAGCCCAACTTACACACAAGGTCTTGGTTACAAGGTCTGTGACCAGCAAGGGGTGGATGGCAACTTTGCGACCACCTTTGCAAGCCAAAGTGGCACCTGCTGCATGGTTGGATGGCAGCAAGAAAGATGAGGACATCTCAAGAGTAAACCTGGCCTGCAAAGTGCTGTAGCCCATCTCTTCTGCCTGTCCCAAAATCAAGACCCAGAACTGAGTGCAGCTCAACCAACCCCAAAGCTGCCAACGTTGGACACATCCACAGCAAAGGCTCCTACAGCCAATTTTGGGTGTTGGTCGGTGGAGCTCAAGGGCTTTTTGCTCCAAAGCACCAGATCAGGTTGCTGGGGGAAGCCAAAGCCTCCAGGGAAGGAGAAGGTGGAAATGTCACTTGCCTCAGGCCAGCAAAATAATCCCTCGACTTTAAAGCAAGCACGGGCAGATTGTGAGGTAGATTAGAGAAATCCTTGAAGGCCTCATCTGAATCTGCCTGCACAAAGACACCACGGTGCAATGAGGCTTTGCCCCAACCCCACCACAGAAAGCAGCAGCCTCAGGAATAGAATGAAAAGCAAAAAGTTTGCTTGCTCTGCTTTAAATTCCCCACCTGGGTTTATTTCATACCTTGCTGCAAGCTCCCAGAGCTGAGCCAGCAAGAAACAGCCTTTCTTTAAAAACAAACCAAGGCAAACTTTCTCCTCCAGCCATCTAATCCCAACTAATCACAGATTCCAGCAGAAGGAGTTGGTTGCTGTTGTGGCTTGCTTGTATTCCTGTGCCAGCTGGAAGGTCCTTGGTCAAAGTATGGAGCCAGGTGAGAGGGCCAGCCCAAAAACTGGGCTAGTCTGGATCTCAGCAGCACTTATAGTCCAAACTCAACTCCACGCAAGCTGATAGAATCGTAGAATCATAGAATCACCAAGGTTGGAAAAGACCTAAAAGATCATCCAGTCCAACCGTTCACCTATTACCAATAGCTCCCACTAAACCATGTCCATGATCTGCCGGGCTTTGAGGTCTGACGCAGAGCTGAACCTGCCAGAAACTGGGGCTGCTGTGGAAAAGACGAATTAATAGAAGCATGGTACAGGTTCAGAAATGCAACCAGCAACCCAGGGACGACAGGGGCTGGCACACGTATCCAGCAATGACACACACACCTCCATGGGTGAGGCAGAGCTGCAGGGCCTCGGGCAAGGATGAGGCATGGCTGCCTTCCTCCCTTTCAAGCAATGCAAGCAGTGGGTTCAGGTCCCTTTCTGCCTCCTGCACACTGTCTCCAAGGTGCCACCAAGCCATGTGGCCCTGCAATGAATTGGGATAAGCTGGTTGTGCTTTGTTTGCTTGCAGATGCCAACAGGAAGAGTGGTTGAAGCCATTCTTCTCTTGATGGCAAAGCCTCCACGTCTCTTTACCTCCTAAACCACTGGGAGAAGTGAGGTATGCGTGGCCCTGGCACGTGGGAGTCCATCTGTCAGCAGGGCCCTGTGCAACGCCTGCTTGCCCAATTCAATTACATTTGACACATCCAAGACACTTTCAGCTCACACAGGTTCTTTGGAGGGCATATAGAAGGGAAGAGGAAGGAAGCCTTCCCAACACCTCGTGGTCAGACATCAGAGAAGCCGAGCAGGAGCACCGTGACAGAGTAACAAAAATCATAAAACCATCACAACCCTGGAAAGTCTTCAAACAACCATGGGAAAACCCATTTTGCAAGGTCTGTAGTTTGAGAAACATCCTGCATCTCTCTCTGTAGGATTTTCCCCATCATATTCAGCATTATTTCATTACATCCCTTAGTCTGGTGGGAGGACTTTCTTACTTTTGGAGGTTCTTATCCGCAATCTGGGAGGTGAGTTCAAGCTCGGTGCTGCTGGTGTTGAGCTGAAGCCACACTGTCCCCTGAAATCACCAGCCTATATCAATACACAAGGCAAAACTCGGCCACCACACACGGAGAGCTGTGCTATGAGAAAGGTGGGAGGATGAGAGCAAGGTGCATCCAATCCAGGAGGAACCACAGGAGGATGGAAGGGAAGTGGTGAGCAATTACTCCAACTGGAATCTGGCCAGGATACCTTGAAAAACCAGCTTGCAAAACTTTCACCAAAACATGCCAACGGACCAGGTGCTTCTAGGATAACAGAGCTGGTTTTTCACCCGACCAGATCCCCAGGACCAGTAGAACCGGGAGGAAATGATGAGGAGGAATTGTGCTGTAAGGAGCGCTGGATCTGTGTGCTGAGCTCAGGACTCTGGGCCCAGCTGGAGGAAAAGGGCTCCTTTATTTTTGGCTCTGTAGAAGGGAATCCCTCCTGGCTTTGACCCCAAACGGAACTGGCTACATGCAAGTCTGACTGCACCCAGCAGAAGGCAGCAGTGAATGCAATTTTTCAGCACTTTTTAAATTCAAAGAGGGATTTGAAATGCTTTTTACCAAAAATACACGTGGAGCTTTGACTGCTGTGTGCTGGAGAGTGACTACTTCTGCAGAAGCGCACTGCAGCCTTGGATATTCCCTGCATGGAGAGATCGGTTTGCCTGAGGAAAGCAATATGCAACCAATCAGCTGTGCTGAAGAACAGCAAGGTGAGCAGAGGGGAGCCCTCAAACCCATTTGAAACAAACGTAAATCCTGGCACACAACTGCAAATGAATCAAGAAGTCATTGTGAAGCGTCACCGGAGCCATTTTCTGTCTCCAAACCTCAGCCCCCAGCAGCTCCCTGCCAGCCAAGGACTTCCAGCCAGATGGATTTGGAATGGAGACCGGTGCCGTGTGAACATGAGAAGAGACATGTAAATGTGGCTCGTGTCCATGCAATGCCTGTGGCTTTGTGCTGGCATTCCCATGAGTAAAGTAATTGACTTTATTGAGCAAGAGCTTGGAAAGCAAAAAGAAAAAAAAGGACCTGAGATGACGGGGTAGGATTCACCCTCCCTGGTATTGGCACGGAGCACCACCAACTGCCAACACTGGTGAAACCCACACCCGATGCTTATCGGTCTCTGGAAGGAGCAGCAGAGTAGAAAGGCAGCAAAGGGGCTCAGAGACTGAAATCAGCCTTTCTGTTCTTGGGCCATACCATCCCCTCCAGCCCCCGTGTGGGCACTCCGGGGAAGCTCCAGTTTGACTGTGTTCCCCAAGCTCTGCCCTTGGGGTGATCACAAAGCACTTGCTTTCTGACTCTGAGCTATCTTGACAGCCGGGGAGCAGCTCCAGGTGCTTAACTTTGCTTAACATTTCGTTTCTTATCTAAATTCAATGCACTTGGCCAAGCGTGGGAGCACAGCCCTGGGACAGCTCCTCCAGCCCAACAACAGCAATCGGAGTTTTCAAGCAAAGCTGCAGTGTTCTTTGTGCCACGAGCACATAGAGGAAGGGAATAACAGCTACACCTCAGCTAACAAAGCACTCGGCACCTGACAAGAGGTAGTAAAAGGGAAAAGCAGAGGAGGGAGCGCAGCATCGTTATGCAACCGTGTTATCTAACGACCACGGAGACACCCTATAGGGGCTCTTTGTTTGCAGAGGGAAGAAGAAAGAAATACCACCAATATCTGAGTCATTGGTTCACCAAGAGGCTCCGAAGTTATTTTCAGATGGAAACTTTTCCAGTTTCACATGATAATTTGGGAGGACTGGCTAACTCCTCGGCTCCACCCACCGCCTTGTAACACAGCTCCCCGCTGCTGTTGCATATATAGATAGGTATGGCCCTACAACTCGGTGCAGACAGAAGAGCCTGGAGACAGAGGAAACCTAAACTTTCTTCCTTCCCAGCTGCCCTCCACCCACTCCCACCATGAAGAGGGAAATATTAACTTTGGCCTTCGCTCGAGCCGTCTTCGTCGAGTTCATCTCCACTCTCATCTTCGTCTTCATCGGCCTCGGCTCGGCACTGAAGTGGCCATCTGCACTCCCCAGCATCCTGCAGATCTCGCTGGCCTTTGGCCTGGCCATTGGCACACTGGTGCAGGCGTTCGGCCACATCAGTGGTGCCCACATCAACCCTGCTGTGACCATCGCCTTCTTCGTTGGGAATCAGATCTCCTTCCTCCGGACACTCTTCTATGTGATTGCTCAGCTGGTCGGGGCCATCGCCGGGGCTGGCATCCTCTACGGTGTGACACCAGCCAATACCCGTGGCAACCTGGCCATCAATTCGGTAAGTCTCCGACCTGGAGATGATCCACCTGAATGCTCACCTTCTGTGCAATCTTTGCTTCCCTGGCATCGGTGCCGACCTGGAGAGCCAAATCCTTGAGGATGGTTGGTCTTGGCGTGCTGTCCCGTAAGCAGAGGGGATGGGAATGAGATTGGAGTAAATGCCGAGGTAGCCAGAGAGCACTGACAGATTTATTGTGTTGTGTGATGGATGGTGTGGTTTTTTTCTCCCTTAATGAGCGCTTCCTTTATCCTAAGGGCCCCAGTGAGTCACCAGCACCATTGAGCTGTTCTTGAGCGCAGCCTCTCCACCTGGAGATTAGTGTCAGGAAAGGAGCTGCGCCAGGAGACATAGGGGGGCAGGGAGCAGAGCCCAGCCAAACCAGTGCAGGCAGTGGGAGCTCAGCAGGACCACCGGGAGCTGGGAATGGGAGTGAATGGAGGGGGTCTGTGGAGAAGAGCTGGAGCATGTGCAATGAGGAGCAATGCATGGGAGGGCACAGAGGGGCTGTGAGGGGCAGGGACTTCTCCTGGCAGAGGAGGGGATGTGGTGAGACCCTGAGACCCTGCGAGAGCAGCAAAGGAAGACAATGTGTCCCAAACCCTGGGGGCAGTGCTGGGAAACAGCTGAAATGGGAGCAGTGGGATTACTGTTCTGCCTGATCCCAGTCCGGACCCCTCAGAGTAGTACAGACACTGTGCAGAAGATTGGACCACTGGAATGAGGTGCCACAGTGCATCCTGCTGCCATGAAATACGTGTCCCAAATCGGTCACCTTGAGGTAAAAGAAAAGAAAAAGGAAAAAAAAAAAAAAAAAAGCAAAGAAAATAAAACAAGCTCAGGTCACCTGGCTTTTTCCATGCCTGACGAGGTTGAGTCCACCTCACAGCAAACATCCCTCATGTATTACCCCAGTGACATTCCCTGTTCCTCTGGCAGTGAGAGACCTTCATCTCAGCCCACACTCTTCCTCCCGTGCCCCCTGCAGTGGCTGCTCCCCCACCTCCTGGGGAGTTCCTCCACAAAGTGGATGGGGGATGAATCAGGTTAACATGGCTTGCAGTGAGCAAGATGGGGAGAGAAATGCAGGGAAAAAGTGGATTAAGCATGCAGGTGGGAAAACATCAAGTCCTGAGGGAGCAGACTCAAATCCACCGTAAAAGGAGCTGAGAGCCCTCCCAGCCTGGCAGATGGTTAATTATTTTCATTCTCAACGGCTCACAGCTCAACAACAACACAACCCCTGGCCAGGCAGTCGTGGTGGAGATGATTCTCACCTTCCAGTTGGCTGCCTGCATCTTCGCATCCACGGATAACAGGAGGAATGGCAACGTGGGCTCCCCAGCACTGTCTATTGGCCTTTCTGTCGCTGTGGGCCATTTGGTGGGGGTGAGTGTCCAGGGAGGGTGATGGGGCTGGCATTTCTCTACAATGGGACTCCCCAAAATAATCTCGTGCAGACAGCCCTGGAGGGATTTGCATTAAATAGATCTCATGGGCTCTTTCTCCATACCATGGGGATCCCCACATCTCTGCAACAGAGGGCTGTTTCAGAATTGGGCTAGAAGGGTCCTTAAAGATCGTAGAACCATAGGATGGCTGGGTTGAAAGGGTTCTTAAAGATCATGGTACCATAGGATGGCTGGGTTGAAAGGGTTCTTAAAGATCATAGAACCATGGAACTGTAGAATGGTTGGGTTGGAAGGGATCTTAAATCTCATCTAGTTCCACGTCCCTACTGCAGGTAGGGTAAAGTCTCTCATATTTGTTGAGTGACACAGCATCCTGATCCCCATCTCCTTTCCTTACCGACAGATCTACTTCACTGGCTGCTCCATGAACCCAGCACGGTCCTTTGGGCCTGCAGTCATCGTGAGGAAGTTCAGCTCCACGCACTGGGTGAGCCTCAGCTGCACTCTGGGGTGGGCAGGGTGAGGATCCTCCGGAGCCAGGCATGAGTGACAAAGGGACTGGACAGTAATTCCTATGGGAATATGGGACTGGGAGTTTCAAAGCTGATTCTGGAGCTGAAAGAATAAACAGAGGGAAGTTGTTCATCCCAAACACAGAGGGAAGAGAGGAGGTCAACCCCTGGGACAGAACAGAGATACAAGGATAACCCTTGTTATGGAAAACATCACATAGGGCATCACATGAGGTCAGCGCAGCACGCAGAAAAGCCCTGCTCAGGCTTTCCAGTCACCCAGCAGTGCCTGCAGGCTCATCATCATCCTTCCAGAACATCACATCATTGCTCTCAAGGAGCTTGACATCTTCAGTTGAGGGGACTTCAACACAAGAAGTCCACTGGAAGGGGTATTTGCACCTCTCCCGGGGACAGGAGATGTGGAGTAGTAGTGGATGCTGTGTGATGGCTGCATCTGGTGTGCCAGCCTCCAAGACCCGCTCTCACTCTCTCCCCTATTGCTTTCTAGGTGTTCTGGGTTGGGCCCATCCTTGGGGCTTGCCTGGCTGCTCTGCTGTACTTCTACATCCTCGTCCCCTACTGCATGAACATGTCAGACAGGGTGGCCATTGTCAAGGGCACCTATGAGTCAGAGGAAGAATGGGAAGAACAGAGAGAGGAGAGGAAGAAATCCATGGAGTTGACCCCACCATAGAAGCTAACGGAAAAACGAAGCAGTATTGGAGGAGGAAACTCCACACATGGGCTCATGTGTGCACATGAACACATCCAGCTACAGCAGACTCTTAAGCAAAAGCCTTCTAACTCAAAGGCCATCCGTGACCAAGGAGGAACGGAGCATTGCAGTGTGTGTATATAACCCCTCTACATGAGCATGAGCACTAGCAGCTCTCCCAGCTTTACTGCAGCCAACTGAGCCCAGCAAAGGAGGTTGCCCAGAGCAGCCCTCCGTGGTGATCCCACACCCAACAGCTGCACCCCTTCAAGCCCTTCAAGCTGTCAGATCTGCACAAGTCAGGGATGCCTGAGACCAAGCATTTGGCCCACGCAGGATCTCACCCCACCTTTGGTGGCCCAGCAGATGGAAGCACGGTGCAGACACCAGCAGAGAGGAACGACCACTTTGGGCAGGTGGGCACAGCAAGTCCCCCCAGTTCTCTCCCCACCTATGCTGCTCATAGATGCTCTTTCACGCGTTAGTTGGTGCTGGTGCATCCTGTTTATTTGTGGCTGCAGAAAGAATGCAATTATTATTATGTATACATATGTATTTTTTTGATTTTGTGTGAGTTCTTTGTAATGTCATCTATTATTTATTGTGAATAAAGGAAATTCAAATCAAACCATGGGTGCAAGCACACTCAGATATTAAATTTTAGAACAAAAATGGACTAAATCAGATGCAAAACATCCCAATGAGTGGCACTTGATCCCAAGCCCTGGGGCACCCAATGGCTGAAGCCACATTGGCCATAGGGGAAGCGGAACATCAAGGGCTGCCTTCCCCTGAGGGCATCTCCCAAAGATTGGAGCTGAAACAGAGGTTGCCTGGAGAGGTTACATCTTCAAATCATGCTAGAAGAAAGCCAGACCTGGGCAGGACCCAGAGGGGGATTTGGCAACGCAGATGTCTTGGACACATGAAGCAGAAAAGCCCATCCCAAGGTCTGGTTTGATCGTATTCTTAGAATTATGGAACTGTTAAGGTTGGGAAAGACCTCTAGATCAACTAACCCAACTATCCACCTACCACCAGTATTGCCCCTAAATCGTGCTCCTTAGTACCACATCTCCACTCTCATCTTGCTATGGGTAAAGGAGGGCGATGAGCAGGGTATAAAGGCATTGATCCTGAGAATGGAGGAACAGGCATCAGTGTGGGGTGAGAGCAGACTGTGCCCAGTTCTGGGCATCTTGAAGCCCATGTGGAGGAGGGTGCAGCTGGGAGGAGCCCCGAGCAAAGCTCCTTCCCTGCTTTGACTCAGGCATGGCATTCTGCCATTCCAGTTCTCCCACACAGCTCCATGGATGCCCTGAAAAACTGACCTGCACCACTCCCCGGCCCCCTCGCCGCTGCCAAACACACCCCTTCACCCTGACCTTCACCAAGGGCCCTGCTCTTCCAGTTCTGCCACAACCTTCTGCCAAAGCATCTCAGTTCATCTATCCTGGGCTGCAACACGGCACGCTGCGCTGGCACTGCCCGCTCATTGCATCCACCCTGGGCAGAGCTCGACCACCACAGCCCCTCCACGTGCTGCAGGGATGAGGAGAACGATGCTTGCCTGTGTGTGCACCCCAATACCATTTGCAGCCTGACTGCAATAAGACAGGTTACCCCCAGCTGTATTTTAGCATGCCAAATTGTGTGCCAGCCAGGTGATGGCACTGCGTGAGCCTGAGTAGCAGCACATCCCCATGCTTTGTTTTCCTTTCCCACCTCCACATTCTCTGTAGGAGGGGGAGATGCCAAGCAGGAGGAGAAAAGGAAGGGGAAGAGACTTCAGATCAGTGGCAAGAAGCAAAACCACAGTGACCATGTGAAAGATGAGGCCATGGAAGCACCCAGCGGTCATGGAAGCAGGTTGGCATCCCCAGAGCTGCAGCACACAGCCTCTGAACCCTGAGGATGTAGGGATCATCCCTGTCCATCACTCCTTGCTTCACTGCTCCAGATCCCATCCACCTTTACGCTGAAAAGAGACACAGCATTGCTCTGGCAGACCACACACCCCTTCCCATGGTGGGGAAGGGCAGGAGGGGATTGTACCCACTGAGGAGCTGAACCCACAGCAGCACTGCCATGTGATCCCAACAGGGAGAAGAAGCCCAGCCTGGGTGTGAGCCGTCCATGGAATGAATTCAGAGGATTCTGAAGCAGCAGCCCGGTGTCAGCGCTAAAATCACCCAGAGCACACATGGGAAACACGAGTGGGATGGCCCCACGCAGGGCTGGGGGCAGGTGGAAGGGGGGCACTGGAGGTGGAGACCCTTCCCTAGTTCATAGGAGGGACTGGTCTCTGCTAAGGCAGAGGGAATACAGGGCATGGGTGATGCCAGCAGCATCCCCTCGCAGGGGAATGCCTCACATCCTTTCCAATGGTCTGTGCTGCATTAAATCTGGGCAGAGGTTGCATTGAATGCATCCAACAGACACCAGGGTGGGCTCAGGACTCATCCCCGGTCCCAAACAGAAACCCTGAGATCCCAAACCTGCTCTCACCCATCCATGGGTGGAAACAATGCTTTAAAACATATGAAAGATGGATTTTTGTTTGTCCTCCTTCCCCCAGCTCCACCCTCCCCTCCCCCCAGCATTCACAGTTTGTCCTTGCTTTTAATGGGATTATTACACCCAAACACCTTCCAGGGTTTTCTGCACCCCTTTGCAAAAATCTCCATTTCACGGAAAACAACAATTTCAGCAACTTCTTAAGGGCTGGTATAATCCCTGCACGTTTGGAACCAGATTTACCTGTCGTGCCTATTATGGGCTGCGTTACGCAGACGATAACACAACTGTGGCTGTGCCACACTCGTTCCCCAGCTCTGCCAGAAACAGGAATTTCAGTGTCAGGAACAATATCCCCACTCTTACATTGACTGCATCTCCTTGTGGCCATGCACGGTGCTTAGCAGTCAGCCAACAGTGGTGGTTTCCATTATCAGCTGTCTGGGTTTTAAGAACACATAGATATACAGTCAAGCAAAACACATAAATACACCCCGACATGCCGTTCTCGTCCATATATGCTGTAATTAAGGGGTGGGAATGGATGCAGTTATTTCCTAAATGTACCTACAAGCAATTTTTTCACACTAAGAAGATTATGCAGGTTGTTTCTCATCCTTGAGCATCTCTTCCATTGGTCGGTAGTTACTGCAAAGCTTTCAGGATTTCATGTTTTTCTGGCAGGGAGGAAATACTCAGCCATTTTCACATGTTGTGACAGCTCAAACCTTATGTGTTTATGTGCACCAGCGGCCTTTATTCTGTGCAAAGAAGGTCTGCAGCGGCTGATTGTGAATCAGTTGGTGTCCATCAGGCTGTTGAAAGGGCAGGGGTGGACCAAGTGCTTGAGAAACAGTGAGATCCAATGGGAATATCTCAAGCAACCAAAGGTTTTCAATGTGTTGCATGGGGCTGAAGCACAGAGGAGGCTACCATGGGACAGTCCCTGCTCACTCCAACACCACCCAGGTGAAAAGTGCTGATGTTTGGGATTGTGTCCCTTCTGAGAGTGGGCTGCTCTGCAGCCCTCAATGCTTTGCTTACAGCCATGCTTTCCAGCTGCACAGGGAAAGCATAAGGCTGTTTTTCAGCTGGAGAGCAAAGCAGAATGCTGCTGGTTGGAAAGAAGATGATGGATGAAAAAAGGCAGAATGACGCAGCGCTGCAGAGATTTTGCAACACTGAGTGCTACCAGAAAGTCAGAGCAGCACAGGACAGCAGAGTCCCCTCCAGGAGCAGTGCCACTGCTTTGCTGCAGAGCACAGAGCATCCAGAGACCAAGGAATGATCTCCACAAACCACCAACAAGCAGAGACATCCTCCCTCTGCATTAGGAGATACCCAAGGCTCGCAAATAAATAGAAAACTTCCAGTGCATCCTGCAAGGATTGTGCAGAAAACCTGCGTGCAGGCATGGCACAAGCTGGCATGGGTGTTGGCATGAGTCATGGTACAACCCGTACTAGCACCCATCTCCTGCTGGGCACAGAATCCAACCTCCCCTCCCACTCAGCCCCTGCCCAGCCCATGGATGCTGAAGTGCTGCTTTGTTCCGAGACAACAGAGAGCTCACAGCCACCCTTCCTGTTGTCAACAGGCAGCACCCCAGCTCCACAGCCTCCGCCTGAATATCAGATGCTGCCATTTGTGTTTGGGTTGCTGGCCACATACCAGGGTTTGCCTAGGGTTGGACAGAGCTGAGCAAGGAAGCACTTTGAGTCAGGTTGTGGTGGATGTGGGGCACTGGAGCCCTGCTTGGTTCCAGCAGTATGCCTAGTCCTTGTGATTGCATGGGTGGGATGAGGACGTGCAGCACTAGCACTGGAAATACAGGTAGATATGAGTACAGCACCTTAAAACACCTGCAATTATGGAAAAGATTGGAAGGACTTGTCCAGAGACCAAGTAGGATTGAAATAGATCTTCATGGAGTCTCAGTTCCCATTTCAACACCTCCTACAGCCCAAAGTGCCTCTTCTTGGCAGAGCTTAAAGTTATCAGCGCCATTGTGGGACTGGAGAGGATGGGCTCAGCACACCCCGAAACCCAAAGCAGCACCCATGGGTGCCCAGGGCACCTCCTGCTGCCCTCTGCTGGGATGCACCAAGGAAATGGGAAGCAGCACCTGGAAATCCTCACTTGAACCCATGGAAAATCCTAATGCTCCCATCACAAAGCTCAGGCAGAGACCTTGTGTGAGAGCAAGGCTTCCTTGCCTGGCATGTGGGAGCACTGCCTGGATCATGGCTGCCTTCCCTGTGCCAGCATTCCTCTTACTCACAACTTTGGCCTCAGCTCCCCATTATATCTCCCACTGCTGCTCCTAATCTCCTTTTTGCCACCAAGCAAAGTCCGGTGATATAATGGGTCCTTGTGTTGCTGGGCGGTGGTGACATCAATAAAATAATGAGTGATAAAGGAAAGAAGGGAAAATAACAAAGCAAACCTCAGCCCCAAGGTCTGTCTGACAAAGAGGCTTTGTTGGGAAAGGTCAGCCCAAAGCCAGGAGGGTTTCCCCAAGCAATGAGGATGCAAAGACTTAGCAAACAAGGAGAGGATTAAATGCATCTTTGTTACACCACAGACCCAGAGAGCCATCAAGCTCCCATCCAAAGAGCAATACATGCTCAGCATTTAGGTTTGCAGCAAAGCAAAAGGTTTCCCAGGTCAGCGCCTGCCCTCAGCCTCCAGCAGCACAGCGTTTTGGGATGATGAAGAAACAAAGAACAAATGCAGAGCTGCACACAGGGGCTGGGAAACCAGCTCCAAACCCACCCTGAGAAGCAGCCATCAAAGCAAAGCCTCTGGCACACATCCTCCAGGATACTCTGCTGGCACAGCACTAATCCTGCTTGGCACGCCAGCAAGAGCTCTGTGCCCATGAGCAAGGTGCAGCTGCAGGTTTGTATAATGCCCTCTTGTGCAGCCTGGAAAAAAAGAAACCTGGATGAGAACGAACTCAAAGCATCCTGCACAATTCACCCTTTAATGCGAGGCCACAAATAAATCAATTCCCCTTCCCCAGTGGTTCCTTCAGCTTTTGGCAGCTGCGATTTTCCGCCTGTCCCAGGGCGGCATTTCCTTGGTGGCAGAGCAATGGAGCTGCAGGCA